AAAGGCAGAGGGTGAAATGACACCCCATCAGGCTAACCAGACAGGCATTTCCCATGGCTTCCTTAGGAACTCCAGTCCCTCTGCAGTTCTTGGTCAGAGGGCTCCCAGGCTGACCAGGTTAAGGTCTCAGAGGCTCCACCAGCTTGACATTTTCTCAATGACACTTCTCATACCTAGATTCACCTCCTCCAACTGTAGGCAATTATTCAGGCACCTGGATCTGAGTTAGTTGTCCAGACCTTATAATCAATGGAAAGAAACATGCTTTAATAGTGTGTTATTCTCTCATTGTAATGCACATTTCTAAACTATAGTATGATTTATCTGATATGTAAGTTCTTATTTCTTCCCATTAATTATTTAAAAAGCCTGATAGATCTAAGACGTAAGATGCTTAAAATAGGGAAAATGTAGCTAGTATGATACATGTCAATGTTTCTGAAAGACACACTTGTGAAATTTCCAGTTTGTATGCAATATCTGAAAAAACGGCTCTTGCTTCAAACTAGAATGGAAACAGATTTCTGAATACCTTAATTAGTCACAAGCCAGGAACCACACATTTCCATCAAGTGAGAACCGGCTCCTGCAAAAGTCCATCACTGTCATCTCACCAGTATTCTGGGAATTTAATTGTTCCTACAGGTTGGAAGGTCATCTATTGAAACACAATCATTTTAAGCCTTTTAGCAGCAATAGACAGAAACTAGTGTAAGTCCAGGCAAACTATTTGAGAAATGAGGAGAGTATTATATAACACGAAATTATATTTAGCCTTTCTAAAGACTATTGAAAATTAATTTAACTCTCCCTGTATATACCTCTAGAACAGAAAGAAAAAATAATGCATATAAAGAAGCTTTAATTTTATTGTAAGAAGACAAAACAAGAGTTAAAGAGAAGACATCAGGTAAATCCAGACGAGAAATTAGTCCCACATTCTTACAGACACAGTGATATATCATTGATACAAACCATCAAAGACAGCAGAGGCAACTTCTCTCTTTGCCTCTATCTCAGGACTAGAAGACTTCTGGTTATTATCTAGTCAAGAACAAACTGTGTTTTGATTAAATACAAATACTCTATCTCAGCAGAGGGGTGAAATGTAATGGCATATAATAGCAAAGTGTTCAGACTATACACAATCTAGGACAGACGTACACTGCAAAATAATGCTCAACAGAAAAATTCAAACCAGCAGAAATCCCTTCTGGCCTTCAGGCTTAGAACTCTACAACATACTGATTGCATTATGCTCTTCTGTTTTGTCTGCTATGTGATTACCTTACTTAATTAACCTGTTCCTGCTTGGAAATGAGAGCATGGTTCCATGTTACAATTTCTCTGGTGGTAAAGCCATTTTACCAGAACCCTCTCTATCTCAATCCCCTATATTTGCCAGATCACTTACAGTTTATCACACCCCTCTGTTGTTCTGATGACTTTCTTTGCCAGTGGGTCTACACTATAAAGCACCTTAGCAAAAAGACTGATTTAAAATACGCCGCCTCCGCCCCCAGCGTAAAGACAACTGATTTAGATCTTTGAGCCAAGCAACAGGAGAGGATCATTATACATTGTGTGACACTTGAAGCCTGAAATATTACCTATGTGAATATTGGAGGTTTCAATCATCGACATAGAGCATGATGCATTTCTTGATTAGTCATGAACTACTATGTTTTCCATTCACTTATCATCTTTATATTATGATGAATGAAATTACCAGACCTAGCCTTTGCTGTAATTTTATTAGTAGCAAGCTAAGCCTTTACTACTCAGATTAGAGTGAGGTTATTGGGGTTTTTCTTTAATTATTGATATGTTATTCCTCATGAGTAACAATGAAAACAAGTTATGGAAAACCAATGTGCTAATCGATTACAGTAAGACACTCCAAATGGTGAAAAATATTGTATAGAAGAGGATAATTCCCTGCTGAAGTATACTACAAGGTTAAACACTTCCATTTGAGACTTTTTGAACTAGTTTTGTAGAACAAGATAGTTTACAGAGTACAGTGCTAAGAGATTCAGTATTATCTATAAGATTTATTAAGATGGCTTTGAGAATTGAAGTCTTCATTTTGAGCATCACTAAGTGCAATGCATGACTTCCTTATCACAGTATTAGATCATAAACTCTCTGCTATCCAAGCATCACATCCAGGTGGGGCTTGTGTCTGCCCTAACTCAATATAACCCACTGTGAAATCAATGAGACTACTATTGTTGACCTTAACAGGAGGCAGACTAGAGCGAAAAAACAAAAAAATATGGCAAAATTATTGATTGATCAAGCCCTTTTTCCTAGCCAAACCATGATACTACAAAAAGTATCAGTGTTGAAAGGGCTTCTTCATCTGTACTGTGCTAGTCTGTATGTAGTAACAAGTTTGCAGTGAATATTACGTTTATTCCAGTGTAAAATTTATTTTTTAGCTAACAAATTCATTGAAGACGTTTACGTAATCATTTTGTGTTATTTTATAGTCTTCTGTAAGGGCATTCTTAGGACACCCTATAATTATAAAACCCCTAAAAGCCCTTCTTTTCATGCTAATGTTACCCTGGAAGTATTGTGTTCTCTGTGTGCTTTATGAGAAAGACATTAAAAGGATAATGAATTGAGCAACAGTCAAAGAATGGATCTCCACAGATCAGTTTGGCTTTAAACACAGAAATCTGTTTCAGATACAAAATTAACTAATGCTTCCTTTTCTTCAGGTAGAGTATTAGTAGCAGTCATTCAGCTGATCAGCACTAAAAAGACCAAAAAAAAAGAAAAAAGAAAAGAAAAGAAAAAAGACAAGAAAGGAAAAGAAAAGAAAGGAAAAGAAAAGAAAAAAGAAAAGAAGGTAAATTGCAGCTGGAACTTGCCACTAGTTTTTCATGTACTTCTGGGTAGTCTTGTCAGTTCTAACTGGATCCATTACTAAAATAGAAGTTTGTTTCATGGAGAACTGATAATATGTACTGTCCCCATTATACAGAAGGAAAAGCTGAATTAGTTTTGAAATGAGTTATTAAAAGAAGGAGATCAAATATGATTAAGATAGCTTCCCATTTTTGCATATTCAATATAAGATAAATGTCAGCTCCACTTCCCTGCAAAAGAAAATAAGTAGAAATGCATGCACTGCAATTTGTTAATAATCTAATTATTTTGTTTGATGAGAAACAAATCTTTTCCTAGAGCGCTAATTGCCACATATTTTTTTAAAAAGGAAAGAAAAGACAATTTCTGAAAGAAAATTTAATGTCACAAAAATTATAGTTTAAATCTTGTTCTTCAGTTCAGCTTCATTAGTTTCCTTTTTTAAAAACACTGTTTAAGAGATTTCACGTTTTAGGAAGAATCCTTCTGCAATAAAATAGACTTGTCCAGATGTTGCATTAAATCACTAAAGGAAAGTAAACTCAAACAGAAATATTAGGTCCTTGTTGTATGGAGAAGAAAGGCAAGCATCATAGTGGACTGTTTAAGCAGAGGTTTAGCACATCACAAACATGAAGTAAATCCCTCTCTTTACACATCTAGACTTGTTCTTCCTTTGAGCATAATACTTAGGAAAAAATATGGTTATTACCTCTAAACAGAGTAGTAAAGATCTTCTGAAAACAATGGGATATCTAAAACATCTAAGCTACATGAAGAATCTGGTCGAACTGTTTAACCTAAAGAAGAGAAGACTGAAGAGGAATTCGATAATAGTTTTCTAGTATGTACAAGACTGCCATACAAATGAAGAAAATAATAGGTACTCTTTAGTCATGGTGTATAAAGCAAGAGGTAATGAGCTTGTACTGCAGAATGAAAGATTCAGGTCAGACACAAGGAGAAAAAGACTGGTTTCAGATCTGTGGTTTCAGAAGTCAATAAAAAATCAGAATATGGATCCCTGTCACAAAAGGTATAGGCTTAGTGGATACTGTCTTAGGAAAGAGAAATGGACAAAGAGATTTCCAGATGGTTTCTGTGTTTACTGGGTCACTAGGGAGATGCATCAGTTCACTGAAAAAGTGTCCTATCTTTCACATGAATTATAGAAGGCCTTCAGTAGGAGCAGTTTTTCTAATTTCAGTTAAGCAGAGAAAAAATGGTTCTTATTTGCTTTCAATTCGCAAGTCCCAAAACATAAACAATATCCTGATACAAGATAGCCCTAAAACACGTGCATAAATTCCTCCCTGTTCAGGGCACCATTCAAGCAGGGCTCAAGCATATTTAGTTGTTCTTCTGAATCTGTTCTACTTCGTGAAACATGATCATTAACACTCAACACAAGCTTTTTCAGTTAACAACAACTCATTATATTGTTATCTCTTTTCAAAAAAACATGTATATCATTCAGGTTACCTTTCTTATCTATGTGGTTCTTGCCATCTGCTGGTAGATATTTTGTGTTGTCAATTTAAAATGTGCAAATTACTTGAAGTTAATGAAAAGTAGTTACGAAAAATGTTAAAAGTTGTATTAGTAACAAACCAATATTGCATGCAAATATTGGGTATTAATATTCTGTATCAAAAACTTTAAGAAATTTTATTCAATCAAGATTAAAGTACTTCTTAAATACAAATTTAACATAGTGCATATTCCATATTACCAAAGGAATCATTATAATATAGAACGTAATCACTGGAAGAAATTCTATAGATGGCAAACCAATAGTAAACCAATGACTTCACCTACAGATGAAATGCAGTCATTCAATTTTGTATCAGCAATGTTGTACAAAAGAGATGGCCTTGCTGGGGTTGCTTTTTTATGTAATATAGATAACTTCAGCTCATATGGAAACAGAAAACTGCACAAAATTGTCATTCAAAATACCCAAGAGTATCTGGACCTTGAGCTTTACTAACCTTCATGTTTAAGTGGATGGATTTTAAGAATGATTGCATATATGGATAGGCTCTCTTTTTAGTAGCATTTAAAAAGGTTTCACATTCGTAACATTTCACATTATGAGCATTTAAGAGTAATTCACATACCTGGTTTTAATGTTTTGATTGCCACGGGGGTGGTATTATTCCACAGTCCTTCCCATACCTCACCAAACTGACCAGATCCTAATTTTTTCAACAGTTTCACAGATTGTCGGTCTATCTCCCACTGATCGACAGTTTTATACGACAAATCAAAAGTAGTAGGAATTTGTACCTGGTAAAAAAAAATAAATAATACAGTAGTTGACACTTCTAATATTTTTTCAACAGCATATACAAGTCATTGTTAACTATGTCATGTAAATTCACAACTGATATAAATAATATTTCCTTAGAGTACACACATGTGATAAAGTAAGTTGAGAACATAAAATACAGCCCACATCCTGGGTACTTTTTATTAGAAATAAGAAATACTCGAAAGAAAATATCCTGCCATTAAAAGACAAAATTAGAAATCATCCCTCTAGAAAGCTTTTTGAACAGTGACGTATTGCTTGCCTGAACCTTGTGGTTTTGTCTCAGTAATTACTTATAGACAGCTAGAGTTATGAAGTTGGAGATTTCATCTCCATATACATTTATAGAAAGATATTCATAAATCATGATTTGGCATATTTTCTCCTCCAGCCACATAATGATTTGTTCAAAATGGCACGGTATTTTATTATTAACATGTCAGCTTCAAGAATGAAACTGTAGCACTATACAGAACTTCTTCAAAATAAGCAGATCATCACCATTTTGAAATGGCAGAAGCAGGTGTGAGGTTAACACCTGATTGATATCTGATGAGTCAGCTTACAAAAAATGTCTTGTACAATGTAATACCTGCTCTTACCTTTAGGCATGGCTTTCCAAGCGCCACGCAGAGGCCATCGCTGTTCTTACTGTAATAGTCAACAAACTCGTTCAGAGTTTTGAAAGTTTTCCTTCTGCTTAGGAAAAAGCCTCCTTCGTCCAGCTTTCTGATCCTGTAGTGCTTCACAGATTCACCATCAAAAACTAAGAAGATTTAAAAATATTAAGTTTCCAGGAATTATAGCGGTGGTACAATATAGCTTATGGTCAAACCATCATAATGTTCCTTACTGTATCTGTGAGGACCTTAAAATAAATTATTTCTGTTTCAAAGATAACAACAATAAAAAATCTCTTTCAAACCAAAGCCCGCTGTTTAGATAGCTTAACATATCTAGTCTATTGGTTTTCAGCCATTCAGGTTCATTGATTCTTGCTTGCACCATAAGAACTGTTCCAAAAAATACATAAACACATCTTCTGTGAGGCAGCTCATATTTTCCATCTTCTTGGGCACTAAAACCAGCCAGGAGCATCTAATTCACAGTAATAATTTAATCAGTTTTTAATATTTCATTTACCAGTGTTAACATTCCAGATAGCAACCGCTGGGCTGACAGGTATTTTAGAGCAAACAGACAAACCCTCCACACGGCTATGATCCTCCAAAAAGCACTCATGTTTTCCATTGGTTTTATTGAGTTTTGTTTGTGTTTTTCCAAATGTAATGTAAAAATCAGACCTTTAATTCTCTGTTTTGAGTAGCTGATGACTCCCTTTCCATTGAAATACATTATATTCTAACCTGTTCTTTCCTAATCAGCAAGACTGTTGTCTCTTCACTTTTGTAGGTTATTTGCCTGCAACTCATGATACCCAAAGTATCCTTCCCATTGACCGTCAGAGCAGTCTTTGGAGGAGTCAGAAAGAAGGTTGGGATGTTGCGTCCTGGGGCTAGACCTGGATTAGCAGCAGGCCAGAGATGGTCAAAAAAAAATGCACTGTCACTCACCTATGTTATTTAAGGAATATTAGGCTTGGAATTGCTATTTCCAATGGCTCTGTCATATATGGCTTAGACCAATGGTCTCCAGAGCAGATTGCATGCAACCAGGGAGTGCACAAAACAATCCATTGCGGAGTGGAAAAAAAGTATTTTTTGTACTATAAATCAATAAAATAAAATCAATATTTTAAAAAATACTGTTTATTCTGTCTTTATCTCTTCCTTTTTTTAATTTCTTTTCTTTTTTGTGTGTATTCTAGAATGTACATAATCTGTCATTACAGTACTATATGTATATAATTTACAAATAAAGATATAAATAAACATATATTAAGAGAGAATGCTCAAATGCACAATCAAAAAAGTTTGGAGACCACTGGCTTACAGATCTCCTTTATAAAGGAATATCAGCAGTAGTGATGGTGGGCTGAGCGTCAGCTGAGAGAGCAGTTCTGAAGAGTTGGAAAGGGATTAGTATCTCATGTGGGACATTATTTAGCACGATGCTCCATGACTGAGACATCACTGTCCATTTCCAACGGGCAACGGAGAGCCTATGCTACATACTGAAGGGTAACTTTAGCTCCTATCCATGAGGGGTATCCCACTCTGCATTTAATGAAAAAACAGTGCTTTTCCATGAAAAGTGAGGAGGGAGCTCTCAAGGGGAGGTGGATGCTCCTGTTGCCATCCTAGTCCTCATAACCCAACATTACACCTTTCCAATAGGCCAGGTGGCTCCTTCCACACCCATCGATTTGGGATTTACCATTACTGTCCCCTTCTCAGGGCCCTCACACAAGATGAAAGCCTGAAAAGCAAAAGAAAGGCATTGGGGAAAGGCTTTCTGCTGTTTACCTCTAGTATATTCATAGATTCATAGATTTCTAGGTTGGAAAAGACCTTAGAGATCATCGAGTCCAACCGTCCCTAATCCCCATTAAACCATATCCCCAAGTAGATCATCCACCCTATTCTTAAACACATCCAG